GCACACACATATGTATACCTCACACAGTCTGTGGTCCTAATCTCTTACAACCCATTAGGATCCTCGAAATATTTTCTAATACCTCCGTTCTTCTTTAACTGTCCTTGTCCATGTCTTCCTTCGTTACGGAATCTATCACATTGAACTAGAATTTTCTCTTTATGTCATATAACCTATCACACTGAATGGCACCAGGGAGCTTACTGAGCTAGCATTCACTTAACAAGTAACTCCAGAAAAATCAATTATATGTTCTACCGTCCCAAAGGTCAGACCCAATAGGTATTAATAGATGCACTGCAATTCAAGATGAGAAAAAATATTTAGGGCATCTTTATCAAAACAAAACCTGATGAATGAAGAGAGGCTGCTTTCATAGCTGAAACAGAGACAGACACTTATGAAGGATGGAATAGTCTTGAGGACATTATGCTACATAAAATAAGCTAGTCACAGAAAGACAAATGCTGCCAGATTATCTTATCCAAGGTATCTAAAATAGTCAAATTCATAGAATCAAACTGTAGAACAGGATTGCCAGGGAGGGTGAGAAATGAGGAGTTACTAATCAATAGGCATACATTTTCAGTTAATCAAGATGAATAAGTTCTAGAGATCTAATTGTATCTGTAGTAAACAATATGTATTGTTTGTTAAGAAGTAGATCTCATGTTAAGTGTTATCAGAAAAAAAATTTTTAGTAAAGACACTGTGCAAGCGTTTCACACATCTGGTATAGAACTGGACCTAAGCCCACGGCTGTTGTTTTAATTAATAAAAGTGGTGGCCGGGCGCGGTGGCTCAAGCCTGTAATCCCAGCACTTTGGGAGGCCGAGGCGGGTGGATCACGAGGTCAAGAGATCGAGACCATCCTGGTCAACATGGTGAAACCCCGTCTCTACTAAAAAAAACACAAAAAATTAGCTGGGCGTGGTGGCGCGTGCCTGTAATCCCAGCTACTGAGGAGGCTGAGGCAGGAGAATTGCCTGAACCCAGGAGGCGGAGGTTGCGGTGAGCCGAGATCGCGCCATTGCACTCCAGCCTGGGCAACAAGAGCGAAACTCCGTCTCAAAAAAAAAAAAAAAAAAAAAAAAAAAAAAAAAAAAAAAATAAAAGTGGTAAATAAGAATTGTGTAACAAGTTATTAAAAATAAAAATAAGCAAATCATGAAATACCAGTGGTCAATAAATACATGAAAAGATGCTCAACGTCCTTACTTATCAGAGAGAAATGTAAATTAAAAACACAAATTCCATTCACAAACACTAAATGCCTAAAATAAAAAAGATAAAAAAGAACAAATATTGGTGAGGCTGTGGAGCAATCTAGGTACTCATGGGAATATAAAACGTTACAACCACTTTGGAATAGTGAAATGTCAATTTCTAGAAAGTTAAATACATATTTACCCTGTCACCCACAAACTTCATTCTTTGTACCTATTCCCCAAAATTAAAACATGTTCACAGAAACCCTTGTACAAGAAACGGCATTTACACATAATAGCCAAAAACCAGAAACAACCAAATGTACATCTGGTGAATAAACAAATGTAATTGTGGTATATTCGTACAATAAAATACTACTGAGCAATAAAAAAGAACTACCAAACATGAATGAACTGCAAACACACATGTGAGCAAAAGAAAAAGACACAAAAGAATACATACTATATATGATTTCTTTTGCTTGAAATTTAGTAACAGATTTTTTAAAGTCTATAGTAATGGAATCAGAAAGCAGTGGCCTAGAGGTAAGAAACTCTCTGTCTTGTTTTGCATGGCAGAGAGGAGGCTATAAATAAATGTCTAATAAAACCCATGTAATTAAACACCTATAGTATGCATTTTATTGTACATTATGCCTAAAAATTATATATAATTTTTATATGTGATTTATATAATATATATGATTTACGTGTGTGTGTGTGTGTGTGTGTATATACATATATATATATATATATAATATTTATATATGTACTTAAAGGTAACTTTTTAAAAAGGACATAGGATCTAATTTAAAGAAGTTTATATTGGCCAAAGATGGGACAATTTGAACATTGAAAACAATGATATCTTGCATATCTGTAATAAAATAAAACCTAACTAATATGTATAAGACAAGAGTTTGGGGGCACTAATTCAGTATTCTGAAAGCAGGTAACAGAAGAACATTAATCATCTCTACTTCATAAACTATGTTCCCATTGACTAATCTTGGACTTTCTGGGCTGTAAGATAAATGGACACTATTTCTACTTGCTGATTATTGCAAATCCAATATATTTTTTTGAATCTCCTTTTCACTACACACATCTCCCCATGAGTCCCAACAGTCTCACCAGCCACACTTCAACTTTCCCTTGAAGGAGTAAAGGAGCCAGCAGGTCCAGGCAGGGGCCTGGAATACACCTGGGTCCTCTTCAGGCTCTCCTAGGGCCCTAGCTCCATGAGAGACATATGTAGACCTGAATGTCCAATGGTATCCTGAAGCAGAGTAACACGGGGCCTGGGGCCTCATGCCCCGTCCCTCTTCAGCCTGAGCAGAGAGGAGACGGTCCCATCACCGATTTTTCCTTCAGCTCTACTCATTTGGAAGCTTTGTTCCTCTGCTACCATTTATAGGTCTTCCTTCCTTCCATTCCAAATATTTTATTTTGTCTTCAACTGAAGATGATTCTTCAAAAATTCATGTGTTATCACATAATTATGAGGCATTACATTGTACATATGGATGCTAAGTAAATAAATAAGAACAAGGCAAGTAGTGGTCCACAAAGTACATACTGGCTTTTAAAAACTCATGTATTTTTTTTCTTTTTTTATTGTCATGCCTTTCTATTAGAAATACAATTAAGAGGAATTATGTTTAGTCACCGGAATCCAATTATTTTGACTGGTTAGAGTTCGTATTTAGAGATTGATTCAAGGACTTAATTCCCACATGAGACAGTTAGTTTCACTCATCTTCCTATTAGAGATTCTACCCTCATCCAGGCCAGTGATGTCCCTGGGCATCAGAGTAGGAATCATTGCAAACACACAATTACAACTAGAAAATCAATGAAAAATACAGTGTTTTATTGAACACCTTCATACATGAACAAACAGTTGTTAGATAAATTATATAAATCTTCTGGGAAGACTCCTGTAAGATTACTTATAAATATGTTGAGAAACATCACACGTGGTTATTTTAAAATCTGGGAAAAAATAATGGTTCTCACTCCCTAAATCTGGCATTCTGTTTTACTTTCAAATATGAATAAAAGTATTCTGTTTGAAATCATCTGCTTTGTAGCAACATGGATGCAGCTAGAAGCCATTATCCTAAGTGAATTAATGCAGGGACAGAAATCTAAATACTGCATGTTCTTGCTTATAAGTGGGAGCTAAACATTGGGGATTCATGGCCATAATGATGGCAACAATAGACACTGGCAACTGTGAGAATGAGGAGGGAGGGGGTTAGGGGTTGAAAAAGTAACTAATGGATATTATGCTCACTACCTGGGTAACGTGACCATTCATATCCAAAACCTCAGCATCACACGATATACCCATGTAATGAAACTGCATATATTAATGTCCTGAATCTAACATAAAAGTTGACATTATTTTTAAAGTGCTCTGTTATCTTTCTTATTAATGTCCAGCCCAATTCTGTAAAAATAATCAATATGGGAGTCTATATTTTTTCACAAGCATTATCGATGGATCTTATAATCAAGGATCACTAGGGAGGCTCAGTGTTGAGATCCTTTGACAGTTGTGGTTATAATTATGTTTACAAGCTACACCTGCCATTAGAGAATGCTTGGCAACAGATGGTTTGCCAGCAAGCAGGCTACAGTCATGGAACAAACAATATCCAATACATATGCTTGGCCTCATGGGCATTACGCTCTTATCTGAAATAACTGGCCCAGACACTTTTTTACAGCACATACTTGAATACTTTTTCACACATTGTCCATGTCAAGTCTTGGAGGATACTGTCAGAGGAATTTGTAAAGTTACAAAATAAAGGGGCAAAAAATGTGAAGAATTTAAATTGTCTTCTAGGCTGTCACTCTTGCTGTATTTCTGGATAATGCATCCAGTCCCCAGACATTAGCATTAGCATGTCCAGTCTTGAAGGAAACATGCCTTCTTTCTATAAGAAACTGCTGCTTTAGAAAAGCAGCTCCATTAGAAATTCTGATACCATAAAGAAAAATATATTATTTCAAAATACATATATTTAATTTGTACCTAGAGTATGTTATATCATCATGTTTTTATTCTTTGCAGCAAGGAGGTAATTTCCTAAACGAAAAACACTTCAATATATTTAATAACACATATGATAGGGATGGAAACTACAAACATGTTCACAATGAGCTAGATTTAAAATCTGTTTCCATCAAACATATTATCTTATCTAAAAATAGCACACCACACAAAGAAAAATCAGACAGCAAGGATAGTAAATCTTAAGGAAATAAATTATTTATCTCCTAAAATATAAGTGTATGCATAACTGAGAAGTAATTAAGTTAAATTATACTGGGCTTTACTCAACACTAATATAAAACCTCATATCTTCTATGACAGAATATACAACTACTTTATATAAAATCTGTTTTTATTCATTTACACTGTTTGAATAACATCTCAAATTGCCATCTCAAAGTTAGCTTAAAGAAGTTTTCTTTTAGCTGACTTTCACAGTTCTCCCAAGTATCGAGATTTGATAATGTTACTTAATGTGTCTTTGATGTAGCAGAATGAAGGTTTTAAAAATAAGAATAGATGGGCTTCATTCTACTAAGAGATACCACTTAAAGCAAGAAATAATACAACATGGTTAAGCAGCTCAGTCACTCTTCCCTCACTGAGGTGGTTTTCTATAAAAGAGTCTGAAGGAAAATGAACAATGTCCACTTACAAGAAGAAAATAAAACAAGAGAAGAGCAGAAATTAGTGGTATTATGCACACTGGCTAAAAGAAAGCATACCTTTCTCTCTCTCCTTCGGTGATATCGTATAAGCGGTTGGCACCTCCATCAGCACAGGCTCTTAAAAGAGCTTCAAATAGAAAGAACAAAATAATTTCAATACAGGAGGCACACAGCAATATCTTTCAAATGATGATCACTAAAAAGAAGGCACTCAGATGCACAGAGTCATGCTAACCTCCATGAATCATTTCACATTCATCTGTTGACACTGCTGGTACTAAAAATGATTCTATATCGCTCATGACAAAACGACAAGTTTATTTCCTTTCTGCTTTTTTTTTTTTTTTTTTTTTTTGAGACAGTCTCACTCTGTGCCCAGGCTGGAGTGCAGTGGCACGATCTCGGCTCACTGCAACCTCCGCCTCCTGGGTTCCAGCAATTCCCCAGCCTTAGTAGCTGGGATTACAGGCATGTGCCACCATGCCCAGCTAATTTTTGTATTTTTAGTAGAGATGGGGTTTCACTATACTGGCCACGCTGGTCTCGAACTCCTGACCTTAGTTGATCCATCTGCCTTGGCCTCCCAAGGTGCTGGGATGACAGGCATGAGCCTTTGCATCTTTTTTGATTATCCTGATGTCTTCAATGTTACTTGAAATTTTTTTCCTCTTTATAACAGAAGGTAGACCTCAGGCTCCATGACAGGCAACAGAAAATTGTTTGTTGTTTGTGTTTGAGACAGGGTCTTGCACTGTCACCCAGGCTGGAGTGCAATGGCTCAATCACAGCTCACTGCAGCTGCAATCTCCTAGGCTCAGGTGATCCTCTCACGTCAGTCTCCCAGGTAGCTGAGATTACAGATGCACACCACCACATCCTTGTAATTTTTACATTTTCTGTAGAGATGGGATTTGCCCAGGCCGGTTTCAAACTCCTGGGCTCAAGTGATTCACCCACCTTGGTCTCCCAAAGTGCTGGGATTACAGGGGTGAGCCTCTGCACCCGGCAGGATGTGGTTTTCCTTGTGTTCTCTCCTTTTACTAATTTTTACATATACTTTTGATTTACAATATGTAGAATGGGTTTCAAATTTTATTTTGATTAAAACATTTCCTCTTAAAAATAAATAAGCATGTTTACTTTAAAATATAAGTAAATAATAATCTAGATAACATGAGCATAACATAAAAATTGTGAAGGTCATGCAAAATTTACTGAAAATTGGAAATGCTAAGGTAATCAAATAAGTCCTGCTGCCTCTTCTCTCCAACTTGGGCCTTGGCCTCCTCCTTTCCCATGATTTCTCCCTGCTACCGCTCTAGGATTGGATGCGGCTAATCAATTGCTCCCTGAAGCTTTTGCATTCCATGGAAAGATTTTTTGTTGCTGGTGCTACCTTTCTGATTTCTATTTTTCACAGAAATGTTTAGTATCTTATCATCGGCTCAGAACAAACATTATTAGGCATCAAACTAGCAGGTTCTTTGCTAGAGTCCTAATATAATGTGACAGGGTCTCCACTTTAAGTATCTTCTAATCAGTACAAATACGCCACAAGCCGATTAATTAAAGTCCACTTTAAGAACTGACCAACAAAGTGAGAAACTACATTTCTTTCAAATTAAAACTAATGGCACAGGTAAGTGAAGTTGAGGGAAAGAAAACAAACAGGTACTTTCCCTTATGTGTTCCTCAGGTATTTGAAACATAAAATATATCAGATGAATACAGCCTCTAGAAAAAGATCAGTGATGCATGATTTGTTTTAGAAACTGTAAAATAATAGATGCTAGAAATTACCACTTAAACAAATAAAAATCCACAATTTCCACTGTGGAAATTTTCCCTGAATTTAATCCACCTATGAGGGCGAGATGTCTTATGAAAGTATTTGAAATAGGATGGGATAGTTCCAAATCTCATCAGAGGACCTAACTACCTCCTGACATTTCACACCTGTATACCTCACCCAGCTTTAAAACACATGTAATGAGTCTCTCTTGGTAGTAAAGACACTCATCTTTTGTTTGGCTGCAAATGTAATGATTTCAGCCTCACTCTGGAATAACAGATTAGCTGAACATAATACTGTAAATTGGTAGAAAATTTGGTGGTACTAGTACATTGACTTCTGATTGCCATTGGTACACTGATAGTTTCAGAAGGCCACTGCCAGTCCAATACTCTTGTGTATCTAATCTGTTTTCTTTTTTGGCAAGTTTTAAGACTTTCCATTTATCTTTGGTTTTCCAAATTTTAAGGTCACGTAGCTTATTTGGAATTGTTTGTGCTTCCAAGGTTGGGTGTGGTGGCCTCAGAAATGTAATCCCAGCACTTTGAGACGCTGAGGCGGGAAGACTACTTAAGCCCAGAAATTAAGACAAGCCTGGGCAACATGGCAACACTCTGTCTCCACAAGAAATTTTTAAAAATTAGCTGAGCATGGTGGCACGCATCTACAGTCCTAGCTACTCAGGAGGCTGAGGTGTTGGATCTCTTGAGCCTGGAGAGGTCCAGGCTGCAGTAAGCCAAGATGGCACCACTGTACTCCAACATGGGTGACAGAACCAGACCCTATCTGGAAAACAACAACAACAACAAAAATGTGCTTCCTAAATCTGAGGACCTATGAATTTCTTCAGGTCAGGATAATTCTTAGCCACTTTTAATTCCATTACTTCCTATCTTCCATTCTCTCTACCTGTCAATTTTCTGGCAATCCATTTAAACATATTTTTAGACAGTCTCATTCTGCCCTTCACATTTCTTAAACTGTTTCACTTCTTTCATCTTTTCTTTCTGTATATGCACGTAATTTCTTCAAACCTATCTTTCAATTATGTCTAGTCACCTGTTTAAAACATAAAAGTTTATAGTCTTACTGATTCTTTTTAAAGAAGCTCTATTTGGTTCTTTTTCCAATTCAAGGTCTTTTCTGATAGTCTGTTGCTAATGTTTTCTACACCTTGTTTTACCTTTTTTTAAAAAAAAAATCCTTTCCCTATGGATGGGATATTTAAAGAATATCTACCTGACTATACAGTCAGAAATAAAAGTTCCAATGTATTTTCCACTAATCCATAATATGTAAGACTATTTTCTGTGTTCTTTGTTATATCAGAAATAAAGCAAAGGCCAAGTAGAAAAAAAATTCCTTTTCTCTGAAGCTTACTCACCCATAAATAAGCATATTACTTGTGGAGTAAGGTTATTAAGTAATTAATTATTTAGTAATTCTATATAGTGCTCATCATGATACAAGAACACAATATGCATTCAATAATATGAATCCTCTTTCTCCATGTTTTTCAGAATGAAAAAAACCTGAAAAAACTGCGTTCCTGAAAAAGAAAACCCATAGCTACTTAGAAAGTAAAAAAATAAGAGTTTTTAGAAAGACATCTAAGAGTGACATCTCATTTTAGGAATTACCAATACACATTTCTTTGTGAGAGTAGCACTCGAATTCAAATTATGTCACAAATATAACTTGCAGAAGATCACAGAAGATATTGCACATTTTGTAAGTATCAAAACCGTCAAAAGCTAAAAGATAGTGATAATCTCACATATAAAATATTGCACAAAGCAAGTGATTAGGGAGAATAAAAGACTCATTAATAGAAACAGATGGTAAACTATCAGTAATTATCTTTAGAGTACATAAAACAATTTCCTGTAAACAAAACTAACAAGTGTATGGAATCTTTTCATATAAAAACCGATTCATTGAAGGAATAAGAAAATCTCAGAAATAGTAGTTTTAATGGTCAAAGATTATCAAATAGAATGACTTGTGAATTTTTCACATTATATCATTTTGCAGAGATCATTTGAATTCAACATTTATACCTATTATGTGCTAGGCTTTACATAAAAAAGATGAATAACAGATACAGTTCTCTAGGCTCATATTATAGTGAAAAACATGAAAACAGAAGCAAATACATGCAGTGCATTGCAGACGGTGGTGAGGGCTATGAGAAAGGCACCAAAATGCAATGCAAACGCAAGGAAAGAAGAAATGAATTTCAGTGGGCAAATGTGTAAAGCTGCTTAACAATAAATCTAGTTCAACTGAGATCACTGTTACTTTTACAAAAGAAAAAAACTCCAATGTCTGTTATTTCTAACATCCATTGTTAAATTGATATTTTTTGAGCAGTTTATAAAAAGAGAAAGACCTATGTCACCGGAAGTAAATTTGTCCACATCTATTTCTGCTTTAAATGGCAAAGGGAGCTAAAATAACCATGATGAAATTTATAGACTATTTTCTCAGTGCATGTAAGTTGACAGTAGGGATTCAATCCATCTGAAAGGAAAAACAAGTTCCAGTCTGTCCCTAAAATCATTTTGTTCGCAACAAAGCATGACCAAAAAAATGGACTCTACCTCTCCTACATTTTATTAACAAAAAGGTTTTCACCAGTTTCAAATATTTTCTATAAACATAAATAAAACTACATTTGAAGAATAAAATGATTCGAATGCATTATAATCAACATTGGCATAAGTTCATACACAGCAACTTGAAAAATGTGTAAACCAATATCACTGTTAGAGAAAGTCACCAACTAAAGGAACCAGAAGTAGAGGGCACTCTTTTAATTTTTGATAAATTGTAATGAATCTGCCTAAAAAAATGTTCACTTCATCATCATTTAAGCTGTCCAAAGCTTTAATGAATAGAAGTTACTGCATTAGTTAACTTTTAATGTAAAAATTCCATTGGCTTATACAGCAAAATTTCTGCCGATTTGTCAAATACTGTAACTTCAATGGTTGAGCAATTACTTACCATGCAATAGGCTGATAAACAGATGAAGACTAAAATTTATTAGAAACCTCTACAGCAACTTTATATTTTAGTAGAACCTGTAAGTAGGTGAAATACATCTTAAACTTTTTTTTTTTTAACTTTGAATATGTTAACATTACTGACAAATAATGAAGAGCTTCAGGCACAATCAGAGGCTAGTTCTGTATTTCAAATAGTTTCCTATTTCTTTTGACTAAAGTTGAGTTGAAATAACTAGACTTTCTGCAAAGCAGATTATATATTATAAGTTCCAAATATTAAGGTGGGAGAATAAAACGAAATAGATTGTGAAGTTTCAATTAACT